CCAGACACGGCTAGTGACGTCAGACTTAACGACCGGATAGCCCCCAGGCTTTCTCACTTACTTCCTGATTATTTTTGTGTCTGCTTCGATCGGGGCAGTGGTTCAGTGAGTAAACAACTGGTTGAACTTAGTTGAAGGTGCGCACGCTTGTTTCCAGGCAAACTGATTTAATAGAACATGGTGTTGATATAGGTGATGCTGAGCCTATCACACTGGGTTTCTGTAGGGAGTCTCCAGAGATGTGCAAAGTACTAGACGCAGACAGGGTATTAGTATAAATTCTTTATCTATTTGGGCTTCTCCCTGCTTTTTTTGAAGTAAGAAATATTCCTTTTCTCTCCCAATGATGACAGACTCTGTGGGGCCAGCTGAATATATCTGTAAGCTCGATCTTCTTAAGGGTTACTGGCAGGTTCCTTGTTCTAAGAGTCAGAGAAGCATGTGATTTGTAACATCAGGGCTATTTTCAAAGGATTTTTCACATCATGTAATATTTTCAAAGACCTATCTTGAGAAGACAGCTGTAAAGATTGTGGCTTATAGGAATGGGTCAAAGTAAAACTTGAATGTGTTTTATAAGCTTGAAGTTAATGGCATTGGATGTATTGTGTCCTAAATAGATTTGCAAAGGATGTTTTGCCAGTATTCTTTCAAGGGGACATGAAATGAGTCAGCTATGTTTAAGTTAAATAATAGAGGTGAATCATTTCTAGGCTCCAACCCTGTCACTGCTGGTGATTTTACTTGCACTACATCACAGACTTTAATATACAACAAAAAGTTTTGAAAAGTATATGCATCCATTCATTGCATGAATTGTCCAGCTATCATACTTTTGTGCCTGTATTGGCATAAAGCATCAAGATATCCACAGTCTATTTCTTAAGACATGGATAGAAAACCCATGCCCTCTTTCTCACCCTGTTTGGGATGAATCCAGGCTTCCAGGATGATATTATTAAATTCAAGTTGTAGTATTTCCCATTAGTGTTAGCGTTATATTGCTTTCACAAATTCGTCAATTTAATACATTTGCAAATAAATACAAATATTTTTGGGTAACAGTCCATTTCATATATGAGAGACCTCAGAAATTATGAAAAACTTTCCTTTCCTTTGTTCTACTTTTAGCAGTGGTTTAAGTGGTCTAATAGTGGTCCAAGAATAAATATATCAAGCAGCCTATATCTTCTTAGGCCATTATTAGACCATAATTTTGACTGTGATTGTGACTCGTTGAGCCTATGCTTTGATACACACTTTTGGCCAATTATTTGGTATAGCTAGTGCAGTGTGAGAAAAGTGAACTGGTGGGATTAAGCAAAAATTAAAAGTTGATGTGTTTATGTGGATGTGGAAGCTGTACAAAAAACTGCAAATCTATTCTTGAATAACTGCAACAATCCAGGCCTCAAACAATCATAAAACGAAGTGTGATGTGCTGTTAAGTTGTGAGAAAGTTTTGAGACATGGGTGTGAATGTTTTAGCCGAGTATCCACCAGAATAGACTTTGCTGATCTCAAGTACACACAGGATCCTCACTCCTTTTGGGGTGAGCAGGAATCAATAACTGTAAAATAAACAAGCGCAATAGAAAATCTTTCTGCACATGGTTTATTTAAAATTCTTATAACTTCATACAAACAGTATATTTCAGGGACTGACTTACAGTCAAACAACCAAACATAAAGATATAAAACACTTTGACAAAAAACACTTTATTCAGTTGTTCGTTTACAGTGTTTAGACTTGAATAAATAGAAATATTACGCCTCACTTCCAAGAATTAATTAACGGATTTAGCACTTTTCAGCCACTTTTTTTGGGAGAAGAAACTTTCACTCTAATCAAGAGAAATGATCTTTGGCATATACATAATAAGTAAAGGCACATTTAGTTTGTGCATAGAATTTCTTTGGATCTGAAGCCACATCTGAAAAACTCTTGTAAAACACACATACACTGCAAACACAATTCATACATCGCTGCACACTTTTGGATTTTAAATGGCAAGAGGCTGGATGAAGAATGACACTATGTTAACTTAAGTGCAGTTAAAGTGCAGAAAGCATCTGTAACCTCTGTGAAATTGTTTTGTGCCCATGTTCTCTGAAGCATAACAGCTTTTACCTTTTTAGAGTTTTTTTTAAAACACATGCGACACGTGGTAATGTTTCACTGACAGATATCCACCTGATGGAGTCTCCTCTTCTTTTGTCACATTTCTACTAAAACGACTCAGTCCGTCTCCTGGCAAACACTGCAGACATGCTTTTCACTATGCCCTTCAACCTTAGAGGCTTCTTCGTGGTTAGCTTGGCATCCTTCAATCTGTCCACCAGGCCGTGAAAGACCATGAGTACACTGTGGTAGTTCTCGGCGGCCGACACCTCATAGAACTGGCAGTCTGTGTTGAGAGCCAGCAGCCGGCCCTCTTCGCTCGTCACTGTCCGTCTGTGGTGCAGGTCCCTTTTGTTACCCACAATCACTATGGGTACTTTGTCTGCACTCAGGCAGTCCTTGGTGGATTTGATAGTCTGAATGAGCCTGCTAACTGTGTTGAAACTGGCCCTGTCGCAGATGCTGTAGACCAGAACAAAGCCATCGGCCCACCGCACCTTCTTCTCAAAGAGTGACGAGTCTGCAGAGAAATCCTGCAAAACCACACAATGAAGTTCATATTAAGCAACAGTTATAGGCAGAAAGCAACAAAATACATTCGCCCTAGCATTTTATATTTTTGTACAAAAACAAGACAGTCAGTCATTTTACATTTTTATTTTGTGATACTCCATTTCTAGTACTTACAGACACGAGCTTATAGATATTTATTTTTTTATTTATCGCTATCATGACCAGCTCACACATTCAAAATGTTCTTTGAACTTTAAGATAATTTTAAAAATAATATTAGAATAAAAGGAGCAGCCTACTTTTACTTTTAATATATTTACCCTATAACAGCACAAATACCTTTTCTCTTACTTAGACTGGGATTTCTTTTAGATTTTTAAACACTGTATAACAAGAAACGGGAGTTTTTAAATAGAAAAAAATTAAATTAGTAACATCATATTGAAGTTCTTACCTGAAAATAATGTGAATCCCAAATATTGAGAGTGACCGCCCTCCCATCTACTATGAAGCTGTGACTGTAGATTGATTCTGCAAGACACAAAAGATAGTTTAGGAGATGTTTAACGCATCAATGCATCAAAGTTAGCAATAAATATATAAAATAAAATAAAGAGTGGACACTTACCAATATCTCCATACTCTCCAATGAATCTCCGAGTTAACAGGCGGACAGTCAGCGCTAAAAAGACACAAACTTTAGTTCACTGTGTGAAAAAGAGACCTAAGTGTAACCTCTCATCTCCACTGAAAATGTGTTTGTTTGTTTTTTACCTGATTTCCCAACGCTCTCCATCCCCATAACAACAATGTTGGCATCCATATTCAATGAAAAGGCAGTATTGTGCCTCTCTGAGGAGGCTGCTGCTGTGCCACTGCTGCCGTCTGAAAGCAGTTATTATACGGCAGACAGGTGGGCGGGGTAAACAAACCCCAACCACTTCCACCCCCCCACCTCCCCACACCACCACCAAACACAACAACAGCAGTAACTTAATGATGTCTCCCTCACGTGGTCCCTCGCTTGCGTCTCTCCTGCGGAGTGCGCTGAAGCAGAGGGAGTAATGTCCAAAATGGTTCTGTCATTACGTCAGATAACCTCATTTCCACTGTATGCCACATGAGCTTAATTCCATTATATTATCTGAGAGGAAACTAAGCTTTAAACAGGCAAATACAGCTTTTCCTAAATAATCTACGCAACTGCTGCAGTTTTAAAAACTATGAAGGATAGAAAAAATAATTCTGTAATCGATTAATTAGTAAAGTTTTAATGCTGGATTTTTGTTTATGATTGAAGATTGATGTGGACAACACTCTAATACTCTAAAATATAGATCAAAATAATTATTTTAACCTCAGAAAGGGTTTACTCGAGTTCATTGAGCTACAAATGGCCTGTAAATGGCCTGTATTTATATAGTGTACTCTAAAATATAGAATAATTATTTTAACCTCAGAAAGGGTTTACTCGAGTTCATTGAGCTACAACTAATGCATCTTAATGAAGTATAATAAATCCTACCTGAGAACCTGAGAAACTAAACAACGTGGTATAAGCAGGATCTGTTGCGTGTCCACTCTTTAAGAAGAAGAAGAAAATCTTTGTTTTGGGGGGGATATTTAAAATAGCCACAAGGTGGAACAAGAGTTCATGTTTTCTTCTGCTGCACACTATTTTGCTTCCTGAAACCAGAAAAGACAGAGCGGATGCTGCTGCTGATCACCGATTGGTTGACCAGAAAAAGACTCTCAGATAATTGGCTGTTTGCACAGACACGCTGTAACGCATGCCTTCTTGTGTGTGTGTGAGGTTGGATGTGTACTTGTATAGCTGCATTTGTGAGGACCAACCTGAGTTTTAAATCTTGGGAATGAGGACATGTATGAAGTCACTGCACTTAGTGACCTTTGAAGTGTTGATCAGGGGGTTAATAGTTGGTCTTAGAGCCTAAGGTTAGATTTAGATTTAAGTTTGTAGTGATAGCTAAGAAAGACACATATGTGTATTTGTGCGTGTCCTTGTATTACTATTATTTTGGGAACGTGCATCTGCAACTTTACCTCCTTATGGGGACAAACTACAAGTTCCCACAAGGTATGACCTAAGTCTGAAAGGAATTTCAGACTTTGGTTAATGAGTTACTTCTGGTCAAAGTTACAGTGAGATGAGCAGCAGTTTGGTTAAGTCAACAAAAAATAAGATACAATATATTGTCCTCTCAAGTGTTGGAAACACATATGTGTGTGTTTGATTTGATGTTATCAGCTTTAGTTTCTCCACTCTGCATGCCGCAATTTCCTGCTTTAATCTGATTTCTCCTCTAACCTGGTTTCTTGTGTAGCTTAGTCATAGAGGGAAAAGTTACTCTATGTAAATCACACAGGACCAAATCATTCTTAGCTCAAAAGAGTTCCCCATTACTCTAAAATGTTTTGTGTCAACTGCTTGTTGTTGGGGGGGGGGGGTTTAATTTGTTTTTAATTTGTCAAAATATTATTGCAGTACATGACTGTCTCTGATATAATTTCCTTTTTCTTAACTTTTATCATTGACATTAACCTGACCGAAGCTCCAAAAACTCAAGCATTAAAATATTTGTATGCTAACCATGTACCTGTAATACTATAGCATTTATGTGATTTCATAGCTTGTATTTATAGTAATCCTCACTAACCTTTGTTTACTGGTGTGATGAGTGTGAATTAACTGTGATTCTAAAAAAAATAAAGGTATAACAGGCTTTCGTTATGTTAGAACGACTGCTTAATTTTGCATTTGAATGCCTTCATTTATCATTATAGGAGGTTTTAGCAATTGCGGCATTGGCTTCTTAATTCTAATAAATGAAGCCAAACGTATGACCTTCATAAACCATGTGCTCATCTAAAACAAATTCATCATAATTAAAATATGTGCTCATGCAATTTATAAATAGCAGGCACATAACTTTGAAACAAAGTTGTTTCTGCAGTGATTTTAATAAGTCAGATTAATAATAAAATAAATTTTCCCAGGCTGTCAGCTGCAATGACTTTTGTCATTGCAGCATATCTGTGTGAAATACAACACATACTTCAGAGGATTATTACATTTCCTGGCTGGTGCAGGTGCAACATTTATGAAATTCATGGAGTTGCTCCATGTAGTATGGAATAAATAAAGAAGGTACACAAGAAAAAGTTAAATATATGATAACCAAAAATAAGGAAATCGTTTTATTTTGAAAGAAATGCATTGCCTTACAGTGCTTAGAGGACCTCTAGATTAATATTATCATACATTGCTGACCTTAATTGCCTGTTAAATTGTACATAACCAACAAAACATTAAATACGTGTAAGTAAAAGTAAGTCAAAGTCAAAACTGATGTGCTGTGCTTTTGTTTGCTGTAATAGGCGCAACAGCACTAAAATCTTTAGCTTTATAGCTAATCTATAACTAATTGTTAAACTACAAACTTTTTTTTTTTTTTTTTTTTTTTTGGCTGTCCCGTTTGGATCTTTAGCCATCAGAGTTGTTGTCTTAAGGCCAAGAAAAATGCCAAGTGGATTTACTTTACCAATTGGATCATCATGGCCTTGCCATATTGGTCCATTTGATTGACCTTAATTATAATTATGTATTTATTTGATTTTCGGTTGTTACAGATGGGACAGACATGACTGGGGGATAGGACAGGGAGAAAGAATGAAAGACAGAGAGGGAGAGAAAGAAAATAGAGGGGAGAAGAGATGGTGAGAAAGGGGGAAAGAAAAAAAACAACTACAAACCTTTGTGATAGAACATTTATTTCAGTCACTGTACAGACTAAACCATAAACAAATGTGTCTCTGTGCTAATGTGCTAAGAGTTTATTCACACATCTTTTATGGTGTGCAAGTGACAGCAACACAGACTCAGCTTTAATTTCATCAATGTGCCAGACTGACGTGCATGTTTCACTCTTTCTCATGTGACGCATATTGCTAAATGTTCGTGCAGTTAACCATACAGCCGTCCACAACTAAGAAAGGAGGTTTTTAAGGACTTACTGACGCTAGACATTGTTTTAAACTTATGTGTGCACATTGCTCAGAGTGTTAATGCCCAAGATGAAATAAAAGGTATAGAAGTTATTTAGGATAATGCTAAAAAAAATTGTACTAATAACATTGAAAAGATCCTGCCTTTCCTTCTTCTGGGGATATGATAAGGAAATGTGGTTAAAAAAAACTATTCTCACAATGAATGGAAAACCAATGGAAACACTGGAAAGCATTCCTTATTTATATCAACACTCTATTTGCAATTCCATGAAATTTCCCACTCTAAATAAAAATGTATAAAACTGAACTGAGGTGAATACATCAGCGATATGAACATTTCAGCTCAATGACGTGATATTTCGTTACAGCATAAACATGCATCATCCACTTTGTTATGCACACCTGTTAAATTGCTCATTGTCAGCTAAGAACAGAAACTGCAGCTAAAATTCACACAGGCTCACCAAAACCGCACAACAGAAGAATGGATCAATCCTGTCGCACTTTAGTTCAGTTCAGGTTGCTGGTGGTTGTATAATGGGAAGAAAAAAAAATTATA